GCCGAAACGCTACACAGCCGTCGCCGCCGTCCCCGCCTTTGACAAAGACCTTGGCCGTGTCGAAAAACTGCCATTCCGGGTCGTTCCTGGGCCGGCTTTCCCCTCTCTCCGCCCCTCCCTCCGCCCCTTCTTCCCCCTCGTCCTCGTCCTCGTCCTCGTCCTCGGCGTCGAACGCGTCGTATGCCTCGTCTATCTCCACATCGTCCGGGTCTAACAATTGAAATGCCCCCCGCTCCATCAACCCCTGAAACTCCAATATCTCCGCATCCATTTCTTCCTCATCCTCGTCGTCACCCTCTTCCTCACCTTCCCATAACACTCCGGGAGGATCAGCCGGAGGGGAAGAGGAGGGGGAAGATGCCGGGGGAAGGTCGTTCCTCCCTAACCCTTTCTGCTGAAGATGTGCTTGCTTCCTTTTGGGACTATCGTACTTGCCGCCACCTCCTCCACGCTTACCTGCCTTTAAAATAATTTCACTGGCGGGTTTATAGGTCATATTATAAAGAGAAGAAGAAGATGGATGAGATGAGGGATTAGACCGTGGTGGAGGCATGGATCGCGATGAATATGGTTCTCAAATACCATCTTTTTCTGTTCATTGAATTAGAGACATTTACTGTCGTCGTTAAGAGCGAGGAATATCCCTGATAGGTCGTCAAAAACACGTTCGATTCAGTCCATGTCAAGGAAAATGTAACGTAGTTTCCGAAGTACTAGTGCAGATATTTTAATCCCCATTAAGTTTCACGCACCTTCTTGGCAATGTCACCGCTGCCACGCATTCAGATGCCGGTCTTCTAGACAAAGAACCCCTGTGTGAAGGAACCTGAAGAAAAGCATCGATGCTTTGACCGCACAGGCCCGTCAGGAGGACGAGAAGGAGCAAAGGGCCCTTTGAAGTTGATGTGCTGCCGCCCCCCCATCTCTTTTTTCTCCGTGTTGGCTGTGACGTGGAGCACATTTTCTGCACACCTGTACTCTGTGAATGACGTGCGAAAATCAGAATGCTATGCTGTGGCCCCCTCTACGCATTATCGATTTGTGACGCGGAGAAGCTAGAGGGAAATGTCGCAAGACGAGAAAGAGCCCAAGGCCATTGGCCCGCTTCAACTCTGTGTTCGTCAGGCCTTTCGGGTCCGTTTTCCACCCTTTCCCACGGTTTACATGTCCTTTTAATGCCTTTTCTTCCGCCGTAAAAGTCAACGTGTATGAGTGGGCGCATGCATGTGTACTTTTTTCTGTTTGGACCATAGTTGGTACAGTGAATGGGCTTGTGCCTAGGGCTAGGAATACGTCACGGATCTTTGCAACGTGGAAAGCTGTAAGACGCATCTTTTGTGAAAAGCAAAGCTTTATTGAAAGGCTGTTGTTCTTGAAATCTCGTGATTTATTTTCAAAGATCTGCCCACCTGGCTCAATTCCTCTGATTATTTTGCCAGGAATTTTGGAGGGTTGGCATCTGTATCCTACTCGGCACCAAACCTCCCCTTATTCCTAGAACTACCCAGCTTCATTTTTTATGTGGCTAATGCCCTGTACACGCATTTCTCTTTCCAAGACTTAAACTACCACCTGGCCATATATTAGCATCGCTATAGAAGCCATCTTCCGCCATCACTTTTTTCGTGCCTCTGTACATTCCTCCTAACCTCGTTTTCCCGCCATCATTTGTTTTCAACTAATTTAATTATGTCACGTCACCGTTTTTCCGGGGAAAGTACCATGCTCACAAAGCATCTTGCTATTATTCACACCTTGTGCGTGCCTCCGTTTTCTGCGATTCTACACGGGCCGGACGATGCGTGCCCGACACACCTCACAATTTCAAGTCGGCCTCTATACAGACAAGCTGGGCATTGTCCTGATCGTGGCCCTTGATGGAGATCAGGTACTCCCCCGAGGGTGCAATCGAAGGCAAAATCACGTCCAGTCCGTAGGAGACGGGGCCCGGGTTCGCGGGACAGGCGAAGCCAAAGACGTGGACCGTGCCTGCGTTCAAAGGCAGGGCGACCGTCTCGTTCCCGCACACGTCGCCGGCATGGGAGTACAGCTGGGCGCCCTCGTAGACCACAGAGAGGGTATACCTCCCGCTCAAGGTGGGTTTCGTCAAGGTCCCTTCGGCCATCACCGTCACCAGCTCGTTCTTCTCCACCGCGTCCGGGGAAATGCGGACGTTCGAAAAAATGGCCGTGCTACCCCCGCAGTCCCGGGCTGTGGCAGAACCCTGCAAGGGATTCAACCCCGCGGTACTCCCGCTACTGCGGCCTGCTTGCGAGATGACGGGGGGGCGGGC